TCTAACTCCTCTGGGCTAAATTCTGCCTCACACAGATTTTTAAATGATTCTTCAATTTGTGGAATCTTATTTTGTATTTTCTCAAAGAAACAATTAGAGTCTTCTAATGAGAAATGAGTGGAGTATAGATTAGAAAAAAAATTAAAGATTTCTCTTTCTATAATCTTACTGTCATTGCATTCCTCATCATTGATCAATAAAGTTGTTATAGAGTTCCTTTGTTGTCTACTTTTTTCCAAGCGGCTAAAGTACGCGGTATTCTTTTCTCCATCTTCTATCCATCTTGCTCTCGACCTGACATAAGCACCTTGAGCCTTTTGTAAATATAAAACATCTAATTTAGCTTGTAATTCCATTAATGCTGGACTATTTGGAACGGAAGAGCTACAAGTTTGATTAATTTCTTTGAACAAATCAAATTCGTACTGTTTTCCTTTCTTTCTGAGCTCTTTGCAAAAAGATATAGTATCCAATCTTATTTTATATTTCAAAAATTCCCATTTATTTATGTCATTTGTGATTGACTGATCAGCTTCCACATCCTTGAAAGTTTTTTTAATCCTAGTGCAATATTCCTCATTGTCTAATAAACTGTTGTTAAATTTCCAATAGCCTTTATTTCTCTTTGTTTTTGTACTAGGACCTAATATTAAGCTTATGAAGCAATGATCAGACAGCGGAGCTTTAGAGATCTCAGATGTTGTGCTGCATGATAAAAGGTCATCAGTTATTAACCAATAGTCCAGTCTAGATCTGCATTGCCCGTTAGGTTTTATCCACGAATATTCAGCAAGTCCTGGATTCAGTGTTCTCCACACATCAGCTAGGTTGTTATCTGTCATAAAACTATTTATCAAATTGTTGTATTGTTGTCTGCCTGTTCTTTGAGGCCACCTATCCAGCCATTCATTTGGAGTCATATTCCAGTCTCCCCCCAAAATGACATGGTCAGTGAGATATCGTGTTTTAAATTCCAGTATAACCTGAGATAACTCCTCCAGAAGAGCTCTGTTTAAACTGTCATTATTAAAACCATAAACATTAACTATTATGAGGACCAAGTGATCCATTTTGGTCACCACTGTTAACCAGTGACCCTGTGTGTCTCCTTTGTGTGTCAATATTTTCCCAGGGAAATTGTTAAAACAAATTGCAACCCCACCAGTTCGGTTTGTGCCGTGGCTGAATAAAATCTTGTCACCCCACTGACTAGCCCAAAAGGTTTCATCTGTGTTCGATGAATGAGTCTCTTGAAATAAAAAACAGTTCGATTTCTGTCCTTTCGAGAACAAAAATAATGCTTTCCTTTTAATATTGTCTTTTAAACCTCTAACATTGAGTGAACCAAAAGAAATCTCCTCATTTAACATAAAAACAACAACTACTAAAATAAGAAGAAAAAAGAAAGGGTCTAACCCCAAGAACTTTGAAAACAATTAACAAGAAATGATGCTCAGTAAGCGAGGTTGAACTGAAGAGCTGCATTTGCAAGTCTCTTTAATGTCCTGTTTCTCCATCTTATCTGGTATGCGTACCTTCCGTTCCAATTTGGCGTCCATCAATATATCCAAAAGGGCCACGAAAGTATGCCACCTTCCCAGCTTTTCTGGCTTCATCGATGAACGGCCACAGACGATTCCTCTCCTCCCAGTCCTCTTTGGGTAACATTTCAGCGAATTTGATGCCCTGTTCTTTGCAGTAGGTGGATTTTTTGGTCTTCCTCCAGATTTCTTCCTTCATTATTCTTCGAGTGAAAAGAACAATGACGTTTCTGTGTTTGCTTTCCATCTTCCTTCCCAGTCTGTGTACAACATCCACTGCCTCCTCCATCCTCGACTCAGATTCAGGAGCGATGTGCTTCAGAGTCTGTACAACTACAGCCCTGATATCTTCATCTTTCTCCTCCTTCAAGCCTTTTATACGAAGGCTCCATCTCATTCTGTATCTCTCCTGTTCTCTGAGCCTCGTTTTAAGGTCAGCATTCTCCTCTCGTAGTTGAACATTTTGCTTTTCCAGGTCTTTCACCTTTGCTTTACATTCTTTGACTTCGTTAGCATTAAACTCCACTGCTTTGGCTAGGCTAGCTAGCATACCACTGCTGCGAGTCACCTGTTGTTCAATATTGTCTACTTTCTCTCCAAGCGACATAATACTTTTCATTATATCTCTGAGAGAGACTTCATCCTCTCCTTCCTCTTCAACTGACCTGAGTCGTTTCTCCCCTGGTGACTTGTTGGGAGTTGAGGGTGCAGAGACGTCTCTTTCCCTTTTATTTTGAGCGGAGATTTCCATAGCGTAGCCGTGGTCTTTATTTGAAGCTGCTTCTTTCTTTTTTGAGTCAGCTTTAAGCTTGGTAGATTTATTAGTGTTCTGGGAAGCCATTTCAATCTCTTTGATGGAGAATTAGATTAAGTGATAGGTAAAATTTTGGTCTTGCTATGCGAGCTCCAAAAAAACACTGCCACTCAACCCGCCATCTTGCTCCTCCTCCGGAAGAAAGAAAATAAAAAGACACGCAGACAAAACTTGTGTAAAAGACTTCGGTGATATATTTTCATGTAACTGAAATGCATATTTAATTGTTTAATTGTTTTAAAAATTTTAAACAAAATAAAAAAGAAAAGAAAATGAAGTTGAGCTCACTTCTACATTCCTTCACTGAGGGAGATACAGTTCTGTGAATAATAATGAATAGCCCACAACATGTGTCAATCTCATGGCCTGGCGGTCAAATGTGGCCCTCCTTAACATCCTTTTTGGCCCCCAAGATGTTATTTTAAATATAAAATACTTGTATCACTTTTTTTTTCAGTAATCTTTGATTATAATGTCAAAAATGCAACAGAAAATGTCAAATGAGACCAATCAAACTCTTGTTGAGGACCTGCAACCAAGAAAAGATGTTGAGAATCTAACTTGACTTAATGTAGATTCTGAAACCAGCCCTTAATGGTTTTAATTTTGGCCACCATTTGTAAATGGGTTTGACACCCCTGCCCTATAGCACTACAGTATATGGGAAAAGTACTTATATTTGGGTCTTATGTGTGCAGCCATCCAGATGCATCCATTTAAAATTGTCAAAATAGCAGAAAACCCTACAGAACAAAACATTATGATGAAAGATAAATAATGAAGCAATTTACTAAATTTATTAGGAGGCACTTTTTGGAATGGATGCTTTTTGTTGCACCTGTCCATCTATCGCTCTCTGAATATCATCAATATAGCAAAATATCATGGGATAATGGGATGGCGTCCTTTGTTCATTTTCAAAATTAGGTTAGTTTATTTTTATTATTGTCCTAAATACTAAATAAGTCATAAATGACTATATTATGGCTTTTTAAACAAACAGACAAACAAAACAAAAAAGTGTCTGGTTTAAAGTGTCATTTGTGCACATGGATGTTTTGAAAAGTTGCAGAGCTAACAGCCAGGTCTCAATCAAAAAGGTTGCTGTTCCAGTTTAACCACATGTTTATTTTCACATATTTGCTGTGTGTACTTTTTACTCTTCAATTTATCTCCTCTTCATTTTACCCCGAAGGGATTGGCAGACAGAAGAATGTTACATTGTAGGCCATAACTGACAACTGTATTTACCTTTTTTTTTTTTTTAGGAGGAATAATAACAATATGCCCCTGCTTCATCAATGTAAACATTAAAATAGTTCAGTATACTCCAAAGCAAGGTTGTGTTCTGCTGTTCATTTGTATGTTAATAGTATTCACTCATTTATATGCATTATTCAGCAGGGCACTTGGATACTTTCCTAAAATATATTTGTACATGCTGCTTGAGTTAAGAAATATGTGCAAAATTATGCAGCTTTGTTGGGCTTTCATATGCTATATAAGTATCAGCGTTATGAATTTCAATTACACTAAAATATTTATGTACAGTAATGTAAAAGAAAAAAGTGATAAAATAATGCCGTGACCCGGATTCGAACCGGGGTTGCTGCGGCCACAACGCAGAGTACTAACCACTATACGATCACGGCAAGCTATCCCTCTGGATGACTCGCAACTGAAAACACAAACATTTTTTAACAAAGATCCACTTCTCTGAG